AAGAGATTGAATGGACATATTTCACTATTTATTGTTTTCACTTACTAAGACGCCCGAAATTGTCCAAAAAAACTATAAGCCAAGTTGACAGTAGTCAATAGATGGTCTGGAAAATTCGCTTAAAATACTTCATGAAGGGTTATCAGAGCTAAAAATGCTTAATTTTGACATAGTTGTCTAATTAACATACTTTGTTTTTGTAATGGTATACCACTAATATGTTCAGGACCATGAGAAATTGGTAATGGTTGATTCAAATTTCTTTCAATGGCTGAATTGATCAAATCTCTGACACAAGGTGCTTTCTGAACCTTTGGTGATATGGCAGATCGACTGTTGTCTGAATGACCACTGGGAGGTCTAGGTGAGTGCCGATTGTCATGAGGAGTCAATCTTCCTTGATAATGAGCCATCTGACCAGCAGAGAAGTCCATTCCCTGTACCTCTCTAGGATCATTACTTGGAGGTCTGGACAGCTGAGACGCTTGTGACAAGGATGGACTTGCACTGTGTCCAATACGACCATGAGGATATCCTGGAGATGACACTGGTCTTGGGCTATGGATCTTGACGTCGATGGGAATTCCCATTTGAGTGGGAAGTCCTGTAGCTGGACTGTATCTACTGCTTGGTGGAGGAGCTTGTAATCTAACACGACTCTGAGAACCAGGTGAAGTTGATGGTGTTCCAGCTGAAAAAAAAATAGTTAAATAAGTTTATTTCAGATTCTTATATGATAAAAAAAGCTTGTTTATGCCTTATACAAAACAGCAAATTTTACAACCTTTAATTTTATTGCACATTGCATCTGCACTAGGCACTCTTTTGTTGAGATAGATAACCTTGAAAGAAAATTGTGAAAATTATAACTATAAAAGAATATTAAAAAATTTGGAAAAGTCTTTGATAGAAAGTTTTGGAGCCACATGCATGCAAAATAAAAATATTTAATTTCGATGACTTACGATATGAAATCCTAGGTTGAATATGTCCACCAGCACTAGAAGGTCTGGATGATCCACCATGATGACCAATAGACCCTGGACCAGGTCCTTCATCAGCACTCAGAGTAGCACTGCTATCATTATCTGGTATACTCCTCAAACTACCTTGTGATGCACTCAGTGTTTTATCAGTAAGAGAAGCTTGAGGTAGGGCATGATTACTAGAATCTACACCAGTTTCAGTTGTTGATGAGGGTTTTTCTATCTTCACATTATCACCTGAATAAAGAGTTAAAAATTCCTTGTAGTAAATAGTGCTAGAAGTCTTGAAAGCATCTTTTTACAAAAATAGTTCAAAATTTGATTTTATATGAAATGATATGTAAGTATCAACAAATATTTTGAAAGAAAGATTGAAAAGTGTTACAGGTTAAATGACTTTTCGATTTTCAAGACATTTTCAGTTTTGCATTGACATTCAATTTGAACTGTACCTGTAACTGATTGACAAATACATGTACAAATATTCCCCTATATCCTACCTTCATCAATCTGCATGGGGGTAGGACTGGGAGCACTGGTAGTGTCTGAATCATCTCTATCACCAGGTTCATCTCCACCCATAGATATATCATCATCAGAGTGAGCTGTTAGTGTTGAAGCTACACTTTCACACATTGATACTGTTCTCTTATCATCAAACTAAAATTTGAAAAAGATCAAAACATATCAAATGAAGTCCTGTTGTTTTATTACGGAAATTATTCTATCTAATGATGATGTGAAATGAGAAGGTATAATTAATTCAATCCTAAATTTATGTAATATATTGATTTTGTATTTCATAAAAGCACCATTTTAACATTTATTGAAATATTTCAAATATAAAAATATAAATTTTGCTTGAGCTAGATTGGAAAAATTTCCACTTTTGGAAAGGTGTTAATTTCTTGCTAGAGTTGTTGAAAAATTACATGAAAAGTGTTTAATACCTTTTCCTTATGTTCAGCAATAATGGCTTCCAGGTTGAATTTCTTTTTGTAGTTAAAATAGAAGTTTTTACATTGAGCCTCTGTTTTAGATCCTACAAGAGTAGCTATAGCTGCCCAGTCACGCCCATGTTCTCGAAGACCTAAAATTAATTATTAATACAAGAATTCAAATGAAATCAGTTGGAATTTACATCCTACTTTTCCAGGCCAATTGAATCAGTAGACATAAATTAAGCTTTACTTCAATTAGGCATATACTGGGTTATTTCAAAGGACATCTGTAACAATGTACAGATAATATCAATGCCAAGGACAAACTTTTAAGTAGAATCTTAGTCAACCTAGATTTATAACCTTGTCAAATATAGTTCTTTCTTTTGCGAAATGGCAATAAACATATATCAGAGGTTATAACATACCTTGTTTAGCTATGTCCATTTCTTCTTCTGTCCATCTTGAAGTTTCTATTACATCTAGAAATAAAATAAAATATCCATTGGTCACTAAAATTATCAATTTCATGATACACTGGAACATTTTTATTTTTACAACTTATCTACGTAGCATTGTTATTACTATTAGTAGAATCTTATTTTAATAGTTTAGAGAGTTCACAGAGCTGTTAGAATTTATTTCAGTTTATTGTTACCTTCAGTTTGTTCAGTAACCAGTTGTACCAGGGGTTCGTTAGTTTGAGGGTTTGTTCCCATACGTCTAGCTATCCGATTAAAACAGGCAGAGCAACATTTACTGATCTCTTCTGTTAATTCTGGAAGATAAAAATATTCTATGTTTTCTAACATGTTCTTACAGATACAGATGGATGTCTCTTTTCAGAAAATCAAAATATCTTAGGCATGATTTATCCACAGAAGCTTCATAAGGACTGGTGATTTTGATCAAATCTGTCCAACATGTGACAAAATCTCTTACTTCAATCATACATTTCTTCAATTTTTGTGTTTATATTCTATAATCCATGCACTTCAATATAAGGCGTCTTTTTATAATCTGCTGACCTATTTTGGTAATATTTTTGATTTTTTTGGCTGAAAATATGATAGGCAATATTCAATACCAGACGGCCTAAGAGACTTACGTAAATCTTTCACAATAGGTTCCTTTATTTCTGGTGCTAACTCCGCCCACTTTGGTGGTAAGGGGCGTAACCTCTTCATTTTACGTTTGGGTGTTTTACAGGCTGGTACAGGACACCTTAACATGTTAATAAAGATACAAACTTAAATTACATAGGTCAAAAACAACACAGATAACTTAGAAATAAGATAACCCTTTGGCCATACTCGTTTCATGAGTCAAGTTCTGTTATAATATTACCAACAGGTGATCACTATGATGTGAGGGCATCTTAAAGTTTAGTTAGTAACACCTTTATGCGCTCTTAACACAACTGACCTATTTGGGACAAGTAACATTGTGAGTGGTAATCTTGACCTTCATCCAACCATACATATTTCTTAACAATTTAATATCCATGACCATTGTATTTCAATGCTCAATTGCATGTTTTTCAAACATTTCAAAAAATGGACTGAATATTTTTGTTTAGTCTAATAGAGCACAAATTTGATAAATTTGACAATAATATTTTTAGAGATCCACCAAATTTTAAGTCGCCACATTTTTAAGTCATGAAAAAGAAATTTAACTTACTGTGTATATTTTTTCCTCACTGATCGACATCTACAAGTACTACACACCCTCATGTCAGGTTTTAAATCAGCCTCTTTCAAACCATAGGCTTCACAATATTTAACAGTTATAGCACGACTCTGTCCATAATGTTCTAGTTGAGTTTTACATACAGCACATTCATGAGCACCACCTTTAAATACAGATAAATTTTTATTTTGTATACACAATATTTTATTTGATAACTGAAACGTCTTATTGAAGCCTTTGTCCCTGTTCCAAATACAGATAATACTAAGTAAGCGTTCTATAAATACCTTGCTTAATAGGGATTTTAAACAGTTCTTATATATGCATCAGGGTCATTCTATTTGTATTTCCTAAAAGACATAGTGAACTGTAAGTGACCTCCTAGCGCAAAAACTGATAATAAATAATTAACAATTTATGGCTAAACCTCAAAATAAATTAACAGCTTTTGCGATAATTATGTCAATAAAACCAAGATGTGTGACCAAGATGTGTGACCAAGATGTGTGACCAAGATGTGTGACCAAGATGTGTGACCAAGATGTGTGACTGAAATTAGAATGGTGCAATTCGATGTCAAACAAGAGCAGATAAATTGAAATAATGACCATCAGCTTCAGTTTGTTTAACAGTATTATCATCTTCATCACTAGAATCTTCTTCCATCTCTTCTTCTTTCTCTTCTTTTCTCTCCTGTTCCTTTAATTTCTCTTCTTTCTGAAGCTTTTCTTTGTCAAGTCTTTCTTTCTCAGCCTTTTCTTTCTCTTCCTTTTCTTTCTTCTCTTTTTCTTTCTTTGTTGTCCTATAATTCAATAAAGAAAAGGTAAAATTAGTTGTGGGGAGTATTGCCTTTGTTTGATGTATACTTAATCAAGACAAATGAACCTAGAGCATTTTAAATACACAATACATACAAGAAAAATGTATTTCATTCACAAGAGAGAAGAATTTTGAAACAGGAATTTTGTCCATTCCTTTTTTTTTAATACAATAGCATAATATAACTGAAATATAAAAGATAGTACACAGAAAGACAGTTTATTTCTTTTGTTAACCGAAGCACACTTATGGATAGTTACGTAGAAAAAAAAACCTGTAAAAGTGTAAAAGACTATAAATGAATATAATTTGATAACTTACGGTTCTTTTTCTAGTTTAATATCATCAGTAACGGCTACTGTTTCTACCGTCAGTTTAATTTCTTTTACTTCTTCTTTAGGTACTACTGGCTGTTGTTGAGGCTGCAAGAACAAAAGTTACAAACATTTCAGATCATTCATACATGAGGAAGTATTTCATAATGAAAAGTGATATCAGGTGAATCAATATGAATTAATGAGGTTAAACAAAGGTAATCATGGCCAACAGATATCCATCTAAATCATGTGTAACTTACCTTAAAGGGACGCCTTTTCTTCATATTTTGTTTACGTAATAATTGTTTATAATTTTCTTTCTTTTTACTTTGATAATAGAACTGTATGACCTCTGGTACACTCTGTAAATTGAAAAAATAACACTCATATACCTCTAGTAACGTTATCTTATTATTCTGGCAGGTTTCTCAATCTTATAAAGTGATTTTATATATAATGGTGACTGGCTATAAAATTTAATATCCCTTGGAAATAAATTTCAATATTTCTGACTTGTAATTCACTGGTCGCCAACTGAATTAATGAGTTTTATATAAACACCATATCTATCAGAAACTGTGGCTTGTTGTTTCTCAGAAGTTTCAAGCTGTTTGGCATAGATAGCTTTTCATGTCCTCCAACCTAGTAGTAAATATCTCAGACAATCCTCTCTAACAACAGCACGTTTACAATCTTACTCTATCAAACCAAGTTGGCACTGACACAGAGAATGCTTAAAGTTTCACCTTTTTCTGCAAACATGATGCAATCAGCACAAAGTTTTTAGGATGTTGAAGATATTTTTCTTTAAAGATCTGTTTCTCAGTTTCAGTCCATTTAATCAAAGCCTGGCTTTCTTTATACTCAAACATAGGATCCTCTAGTAGACCATTGTTATTGATAAACTTCATTTTACGTTGATGAGAATCTAACATCATTGGTGGAATAACAGAAAAACTTCTCATCTTCTTCTCCTCTTCCTAAATAGAATATATTGACAAAACAATCAATAAAAGCAATGAATAAAAAATTCACAGACAGAAGAGCCGTTTTTTTTATTTTAAGCGGTCTTTAATGACATGCATTAACTTTATCACATGACCTTAATCTTTCCTTCTTCTTGAAAAAATAGATGCTTTTTTTCAAGTTAATCTGTGTATCGTTATGCATAGTGAAGCTGGGTTGAAAATCCAAATATTGAACCCCAGACGTCCAAGCTAATTGGTTAGATTCCAAGCTACTTGAAAGCCTACAGTAGAGTTTTGAAGAGATTTGTGTAAATTATTTGAAAAGTCAAAGTCATAAGGCAATCTTTAAGACTTTCAATGCTTTTACTTCTTTCTTAAAAGAAGCTATACAAAAGTTCAACTAACCTCTTGTTCATTGAGACCATCTACTATCTGTTCTAATTCAGCATCAGTTCTAGCATAGCCTGCTATACTACCTCGTGTTCCAACTCGACTGGTAAAAAATAATAATATATATTACAATAACAACCCAATATATATTATAAACTAACTCTAGCATAGCCTGCTATACTACCTCGTGTTCCAACTCTACTGGTAAAAAATTATAATATATATTACAATAACAAACTCAATATATATTATAAACTAACTCTAGCATAGCCTGCTATACTACCTCGTGATCCAACTCGACTGGTAAAAAATAATAATATATATTACAATAACAACCCAATATACATTATAAACTAATTCTAGCATAGCCTGCTATACTACCTCGTGTTCCAACTCTACTGGTAAAAAATTATAATATATATTACAATAACAAACTCAATATATATTATAAACTAACTCTAGCATAGCTTGCTATACTACCTCGTGTTCCAACTCGACTGGTAAAAAATAATAATATATATTACAATAACAACCCAATATAATACTATAAACTAACTCTAGCATAGCCTGCTATATTTCCCTATGTATCCACTAAACTAAAGGAAAGCTCTCAGCTCTATATTGTCAAGAACATACCTCTGAAATCTTTCTCTGTCTTCTCTAGCCTTCTTAATCTCGGGAAACAATTTCTCATAGAATTCACGAGATTTGGCTTCTTTCGCTCTATGAATTAAACAATGAGTAATACATTCTATATTTTTAAGTAAAATACAAATACAAGAGATTAAGTACATGTAAATAAATGTACATCAAATAAATTTGACAAGAGAATGAAACATCAATCACAGTAGAGATTGAGAGGGAAAAATTTGATATTCATCAAAATATTTTTTACTTGACATCATTTATTTGCCACAAATGTGTTTTGTTATAGAGACCTTGTCAAATAGCATCAACCTTTGACAATTATGAACATTTTTGAAGCCAATTTCTTCTTATGAATATGTACAAAGCTAAAAATCTGTCATGTTCAGACCAAATCACTTAAAAGATTAAGCCGTAATCAGAAATGATTGATGGACACAGTTAAAACATTAAATACAAGGCACAACAACTTACTTTCGTTTTGCATTGTTTTCAATTCTCTCTATTTTCTTCAACCAGGCCTGCATCAACTGATCATATCTTTCTGTTAAATATTTCTCCTGGAAAGGTAAGTAATATTGTTCCAAAATCTTACAATAAAAATGTTTACAAGCAATCTGAATAACATGGCAACAAATAGACAAATAAATTTCATACATTAAATAACAGGACTAGTCTCAGAAAATGGTCTTACCCTTATTCTTCTGGCTTGATGTCTCTTCTTTAAATGTAATATTAACCTGTTTTTAAACACAGCGAACCTACAAAGTACAGATTTAAAACATAACAGAACAGTTCTACTGTATGCTAATTATTAAAATAGACACTGGTGTTTAAAGATTAGCTAATCAAACTCATGGAGTATCTTAAAGTATCTAATCATATTTTGTGTTATTGGACACTGAATTTCTATGATTTCTCAATAGTTTGTTTAGACTGTAAACTTGGATTGACCAACCCACAAAAAATAAATATGTCAGAGTACAGAAAATTATTCAATGGATGTCTATTTTATTAAAAAAATATAAACTTACTTTTGTTTATTTTCTTGATATATGGCTGTATCTGATGGTTGATGATACAGAGGCTGAAATATTATAGATAATCATTCTCATTAATACAGCTAATCATCATAAACATTGGAAAAGGGAGGTAATTTGCTGAAGATATTTCACTACAGCTTAAGTGTTTTAATATATCTACACTATCTGATCTGGTCAAATATAAGTCTACTGAACTTTAAATAGAATAGTGACTGTTTTTTTATTTTAAAAAGAAAGATCTAGAAAATTGACTTCCTAATTAGTGCTATTGAGAGTTGAACTGATGTTTGCATCTGGGAATGCCTTTAGGCTACCCTGGTATGATCAATACAATACCTACCAAGTCAATCTTTGGGCCCATTTTACTCAGCATTTTATGGGCTTCTTCTGCCTTTCTCTGAAAATATATAGAATAGACATAAACATCCTTCAACATCTGTTAATACATAATCACAAGTCACACGGAGGAATTATCACTTTCAATTTTATAAGGGCTAAATGTTGGATTGAAAATACCAAAATAAAATCTGAGATCTTTCACAAAAAATTCAAAAAAAGGGGGGTAAAAATAATTGGGCAGTGACCTAAGTAAAACTATGACAAGTCATACAGGTCCTGAGATATCTTGGCCAATAACAGGAACTAATTTACCCCTTTAGTTTAATGTAAATCATACCCACCCTATTTTCAGCATATATAATTTGAGCTATACTCTGATGTTTAGGTTCTGATTGGTTTAACTCTGGTGATTCACGTTTCTCTTCTTGTGGTTTAGCTGTTTCTTTTTCTAGTTGATCCTAAAATATAGGATACATTTATGATACTGGATATTATATCTACATTACAAACCACAGAGAAACATTATTCTTCAGTGCATGACATCATTAAAGTATTTGTTACCTCCAAATGACAATTGTTTCAGATATAGATTCAATCATCAGGAAAAGTAATTTGAAATAGAGCTTCAATTTCCAGAATTTGAAATTCACTAAACATTCATAGTAGAGGGAAATCATTTTAGCCACATTATTTTCCATAAGAATGACTATTCACTCTCTGTGGTTGTCTGAAAGGTCTAGGCTAAGGCATAGCATTGAGAATTATCCACATGGAGGTATATGGTGAAAATATCTAAATACCTGTTTCTTCTGCAGGTTTTTAATCTTAGATTCAACTTGATGAATCTCCTGGTCTAGGTTAGTAATCTGAGCTATGATCTCATCTTTTTCTTTCTGAGATTTTCCTAAAGGTTCTTCAGTAGGTGAAATAGCTTCTACTTGTGGATTGTATGCTGGTTCCTGCAATAGGAATAGGTAAATATGAGTTGGGAGGCAGGAAGGACTACTTCAATAGATTGATGTTTAAAATTAGAACTGCTATTCCAGAAGTAAAGATAAAATAGTGAGACATTTCATATGTTGATCAACATCAAAATCTGTAAATGGCACTTAAGACGACATTTGTTCTATGAGTTTGAGATAATGCAGACGTTAAAAACATTAAGAGCCATCAATTACATCTAAATCTACAATTTAGTCAGAAAACTGAAATTTTCAATACTTCCAGCTTTGCAAGCATGCAGATAATCTGGGAAAGAGCAATGTGGAGAAGAATGATCAAGAACCAGTTGGTAGAAAGGATCCTCATGAACCTTGTTGTCCTTGTAAAAAATGGTTGTTTATGTCTATCTTAAATACCTACCCTTTTGACCTCTATCTGAGTATCAACATGTAAAGGTTGTAAGAGATCTGGTCTACTAATGGCCAATCTGGGACGTTTATTGACCTGTGGGCCCATATCCCCACCCCCACTAGTTATTCTAGTAGGTATAACGGCTGCTAGGTTTTCTTGACTGTACTGAGGGTACTGTTCGGCTCTGAAAAGCAGATAAATACAATCATCATATAGAAATGACTCAAAATATTCCAAGTACAATTCTAAATATTTTCTAAAAACTTCCCTTTTGTCCATTTTGAAAACAATTTCTAACAGGTTTAAGGAAAACATAATAATTGATTTTTAGTAAGCTAGAAAAGACTGATCTTGTGATAATAACAATCACACAAAGCTTGGCTAAAGCTGTATTAGAAACCAAGTTGAAAATAACTAATAGACAAACAAATTTTGACTTTATCAATATTTCATATTTTTCTGAAGTACCGTACGTGAGGTTATGATGTTGTGTCAATATGGATGGTGTGTAACATTAATGCATTAGACCACAAAATGGTTTGTTATTGTGCAAAAATTTAACAAATGTTGCACACTGCCACCGATGACATCATAAAAATACCAATTTGGCTTTTAAAACATACAAAAAAAAAACATAGAATGCTTAAATCTAATCATTTATCTAATATTTTTAAACCTACTATTCCTTTAAAAACCAGACAAAAGTTAATCTGGTGGAAACGTAACTTTAATATAATAACTAAACAAAGCTTGGCGTGGTGGAAACTGGTTAAATCTATTCAAAACTTAACAATAGAATCTCTAACAATTCAAACCTATTAAAATTTTCATTATTGTTCTGAGAAAAATATCATTATTACTGTCTTAAAAATCCATATATAGAAATAATTTAGATAATAAGGCTTTAGACCTTTCATTTCGTGCAATTTTAAAAATAAGCCTATTAAAATTGTGTCTTTTTAGTTGAAAGCAAAACCATTTCAAAAGAAAAAGACAAATATCAAACTTTTTTTAACAAGATAATACAAGAACATGTTAAGAATAATTACAGTAAAAATCCATGAAAAGTACATCCTACTTTAACAATATGAAAAAATGGAAATTTGACACATGATTAAGCTAATGAAACTGGCATGCAGTGTGCAATGAAGGAAATTTTGGTAAGATAGAGGCATCAAGCTATTCTAAATGATACTTTTGAGCGATGTCAGCATGCAATGACTACAGCACACAGGGCTTTTTTCATTTCAGTCCCCTGGACTCGTTTAAATCTTTTATCAAAACATTAAACTAGCATTTTTGACTGCATCACGTTACGTTAATCATATTTTTAAGTTAACATTAATGTCAAGTTTTCATAAGACATTAATGTCAACAAATTTCAAATACACAAAAATTATGTTTTCATTATGTGCTCCTAGGTCTTTTCATGTTGTTATTAATGGGAATTTATGCAGTTAAATGCACCAAGATTAAGAGTACTAAGAAGGATATTTGTGGTGCCAGTTTTCAGTACAAAAGGAAATAGTCTACACTGAGTTTGTTTATAATCTACAGATTGTGCACTCAAATTAAGAGACCCATTGTCCAACATTTCATATGTGGTTTACATGAAAATTAAATTACGTTTATTTTCATCAATTATCTGAGCTATATCTTTCCAGATAAACAAATTGGAATTTGAATCCAATAAGCTAATAAGATTAGGTTTTTAAACGCAAGACTCCTCAGAAAAGATTTTTTCATTTTCATCACTTTTTGGAATAAAGAACAGACATACTGTTGGCAGTGAGGAAAACTTAGTGGTTTTGTTGCTTTATAATTTATACTAACCTTTCAGCTTGATGGTGATGATAATCTTGTAATAAAGTAGGTCTACGTTTGGCCACATAGTCATCATACTGATGTGGAGCACGGTGCTGATCTGGTGGCTGAAATATATAATTTAATCATGATTATCCTGTATCTATTACCTTTTATTATAAAATTTCAATGCCCATTAATTGGATACAGGAACTCGGAAAATATTTTTTTTACCATTGTCACATTTAACATTTCATGATTTTTTTTGTAACTATTTTATTTCAATATAAGAATCTAAAAAAAATCCCTTAGTTCAAAAAGAAGAAACGTACAAGGATTCCATGATTAACTTCATATATTTTTCTCATGAAATTTCCCATTGAAGATTGGTGGTAGAAGGCTTGTCATAGTTTAATACGTTTACGGCACATATTTATATATATCACAGATTTCCTTTATCACAAGAAGTAAATATAAGCAACCAAACATATTTCAAGACACGTCAGATGTAATTTTGGGTCATTGAAGAAAAAAAGGCAAAGTGGCAAAAAAGGAATTTTCTGTCCAATGTTCAGCACCCAACCAATAGATCTGTCTAAAACATCAATTAAACCATCAACATTATCAATATCCAAATACACCTATTACCCTGTAATTATAATCTTATTTTAGAATCATACAGTTCATTGAAGTACATATAGGAACATAGAGTTGTTTATCAACAGAGGCAATGCTTTGATTTTTTCCTACAATTTGCTAATTGCTGCTCACTTCATGACCTAACATCTTTAATTTAAAACTTCCAATCAAATCACACAAAAAAAATTTGTTCATTTGATGAGGACACATGTAAATTGTGTTGAAACGTTATGTGTATAATAATTGTATTAAAGAAGTGTGCTTATTCCATAATATTGTCTTGTGTTTGTGATTTGTACACCTCACTTCTAAATGTTCTCAGTCTTACTTCCAATTAAAACTTTGTTTCCACAGTTGGCACATAAAGTCTAGGCCTATTTTGCAATATTTTCTATTAAAGAATACCTTTTATCACAATCAGTTTCCAAAAACATTTGAATTGAGTATGTACATATATACTATAATGGCGATTTTAAATTGAGAATGAAAGCTTAAGAAATTTAGAAGCTTCACTTAGATAACCACCAACCACGATGCCACACAAATGATGTATATAATTTTTTAACAGAGAATATTCCTTCACAATATGTGACTCATTTAACAGATATATTCATCACTTTAACCTTAAAGCACTCAAATCAAAATATCAAACTGAATTTAAAATTCAAATTTCTTTCTGCAACATATAGATAAGGGTGATCACAAAAAAGCTGAATTTAATTTTGAATGAAGATTATCCTGTACCAATACACAATATATGCAGTTCAGAATCGTAATTATGTTGTATTCAAAATCTCATATCCTATATTTGAACTGAATTTAAATTTCTGCTATTTTAACTGCTGTATGCATACAACTGACCACAAGGTATGTTACCACACAAATATTCAGTATTTAGCACAATATTTAAATGAACAATGTCCTGTATATACTACGTGCAGTATATCAAGACCTCCAACAGTATGCATGTTGTAATTTCTGAATTAAAATGTTATTGCACCAGTAAGTAAGTGATTAAAGGCTATAGGATTGTCAAGTTTATAGTAGAAACCAGATGGCTACGGTCAGAGCCTGTATAATGTCTTCAATATGCTTCTTAAAGTACCGCATATATAATACAACACTGTTGTGCCATTACTTATACATATTTGTCAAAGTCTTTTAAATCACGCCTCAGTAAGTTACAATATTTTAAAGTTAGATCCAACTTTTCACTTTACATTAAGAAAAACGCGCTTTTCCTAGCTTTCGGGACAATTTTTAAGTCTTTTGTCTTATATTATGGCATCCACAATTTATAAGATCCACAACTGATCAGCAACTCAAATAATATCTACAACTAATATCCATTAGAAATATCCTCAACTTTCCGAATTTACAGGACTGAAAATATGAAGTACTAATTCAAACAATACCAACAATATTTATCCACCTGCAAAACCCATGAATTCTAAGCTTACTTTCTCACAACATCCACAATTGTTCAGCTAAACAAATATCTACAAATGATTTCCAGTCAAAACGTTCACAACTTTTAGTCTTTCTTTATTTTTAACATCCACAATTGAAATCCACCTGCAACATTGGCTGTTCCAAAACATCCACAATATTCAAGTTCTAAATGACACTATGTTAATATAGAAAATAAAAGTCTGACCTAATGGACCACCCTGAATTTAGTTTCCATCACACAAATTGATTGAAATAAAACATTGTTTTAACTTTTGACAAACATTGACTGAGTATTTTGATTAAACAGCAACCCCAGACATTAGACTCGACAAGTTTTTTTATATTTGAGCAAACCTTTTCAACAATTTACAAACTTTGACTTAAACAACTTGTACTCTTAAGGTCGTGGAAAGTACTTTAACAGAATAAAAAATCTTCAACTGCAGAAACAAAGTCGCTGAGACAGGCTTTCTCTCAAAAAGTCTATACACACTATTTGCCATGTCCTGTCTGAATATCCAGTAATTTTTCATAAAACTTGATCACATTATGTCAATATCATTAATCAAATTCAAACCTAATCCCTATCTAGTAAAAAACAATGTAAAAAGTTCTTTTGCGTTTTTCTATTTTTATGAGAATTTTAATAGCA